CTAATTTTGGCAGTGAATTTGTTTACAGTTAGCTCTTTTGTAAATGGATTCTTCACTAGCTCTTGCAATGTCTTCGACATACATAACGTTCATTTCTTTCCCGACCAGTAAAACTGGTCCCTTCTTAGAGGAACTCCTCTTCACACTTTGTACGGAATGGAAGATACTATGCTGGAATTTCAATTAGTTAAATTCGAAGCGCTATTTCAGAATAATTAATGAATGAAGGATGAAGTGGGGTCGATGCAACAACCATCTTACATTAATTGTAAGATATCTGTATTCCAAATGTCAAGGTATTTAAATGTGAAACAATATAAAAAAAGTTAAGTTCACATGGAGTCTGTAGCTTATGTAGCGCCTTTAATACAACAATAAAACAATGGATTTAAGAAAATTTACTTCCAAACGTTTCGTGTACAAACAATAGAAGCATAGCTGAAAAACTTCAGTTATAAGATTATTTAATTTAAAATATATGTATCTTTTATATACGAATGCAAGCTATTCTCTTAAACGCGTATATCTATTTGGAAGAGGCACCCATTGCTCTGATGAAGTAGAAGCTTTTACTTTGCCGTACAACTTCAATTAACTACAAAACAAATTACTTGGTCAAAAAACTGAAATCTGCTAACCTCCGCCGGCAACAACTAAAATGTTTAAACGGCATTTATGTTGCGTGTTTGGGAAGTGCATTGCATGTTTGGAGTTTGGAGACACTTTGAGAAAAACGTACTAACTATTCCAATTTTTACTATGTGGCGTCGCATAAAATATGTGAACTAATTTTAATGGAGATTATGGAATATAGGAGAGAAATATCCGAAGATCTCCATACATACAAAAAGCTTAAAATTGCCATTTCAAAACATTTTACAGATATGGTTCAGTAAATTCAAACTTCTACTTTTAAGACTCGAATTAGTTTTAGTAGTACTTCGTTCAGGAATTTTTTTTGAAATGAAAAAAACTGTCAACTTCGCAAGAATAGTGACCATCCTAATATTCGTTACGTGAAAATAGTAATATACATTATTATTCAAATGCATAAAAGAATGAAATAAATAAATGTATAAAGATATTTTATCGCTTTTACTAATAATTGTATTGCAATCACAGAAATACATTTCAGTGGAAAATTAATTTCTAACTTAGGAAAGTTGTTCGAAGCAAAAATAGAAATTTCCTACCTGTCCTTTTCTTTTTGATTGTTTTTTGTCTATTTAGATCTTGAGGTATCGAAGGCTTTTTATCGCGTTCCACCAGAAATAAATCCCTACATTTAACTATGCACACATTTTGTTGAGATCTCTTTTTGCTAGTTGAGGTAGAAGTAGAATTGGAATTGTGGGTTGTTATTTTGTTATCATTGTTAAAAAACAGATCTGTAGTTTGTTTACCAATGCAAATGTTTTCAATAACTCAGGAGCAAGAATGTCTGATTTTCAAATGTTGCTAACTTCACTTTGTTTTACTTTTATTCATCATTTAACTTCTCCTACTTACTGTTGAAGAACACAGAAGAGATTCTAGAACTCAAGAAAACCTGCTCGGGTTGTACTTCTCCCCTACTCGTCACACACGTCTTTACTGTTCTTTAACGAAAATAAATGAAATAAAATTAAAACTCCATCAGTGATTGTTTATAACTGTGTATTAATGTAATTAAAATTAATAATATTTCATTACAAAAAATATACTGTTTCATTTCAATCTCCGCTTGCGATACAGTTAGAAACGGTATCGAACCCAATCCTATGGCATTGCATTGCTTTCGATGCCCCAAAATTAAATTGTACGACTATTTAAGAAAATATTTCACAAAATATTTGCAAATTCGACAAAATGTCTTATAATAAAAACAAAATTTCAACTTGATTATTTTTGTAGACATCGATAGATTTAATGAAAACATGCTTAATTACCATATTTTTGTTATTCATGGTCGTAACAACTACAAGCTCATTAGCGACCACTATTGTGTATAACGGTATAACTATGCGTATGACAGGATATGATGACGATAGGGGTGTGAAAGGACGAACACAATACAACCATGCCCGAGGCGGGACTCGAACCCACGATTTTTGGGTCCAAGATCGCTTCAGCATTACTGCATTAGCGACCTCGGCCATCCGGAACGGCGCCGTTTATTTTCTCGGTGCTCATTTTCCTAACTTCTATAGTATACCGATAAAATGAAGTTCACTGGTCACATTATCAGTGGCCAATCAGATGCCGAGTTTTGCTTCTAGCCGATCTGCAGGGAACGAGCCGTTCCTCTTTCATTTCTTCTTGGTGCGCGAACGTGTGAAGTAGTGGAAATGGCTGATGCGGGTCCAGATACTGTATCAAGTTTGTGAAGTGTTAAGACATTTTGAAACTCTTCGCAGTCGAACGTTACTTTTTCAAAAATCTTATTCAAAATATCAGTAAAAGCGGATAATATCTACTTACTAGCTGCAATTAATTCGTTGGTGGTACTAGGAAACGTTTCTAAAACTGCAGAGAATTAAACCCTCATTTTGAGTGTAGTGATGCAATTCTCAAGCTGTGCAACTCTGAAATAGTTAGTGATTGAGTGAACGTGTATGAAGCGAACCATTAACTCAGAGACCACAACTTCTGACTTTGCCGTACGGCTTTTTGGTCCAGTTACCGCCATCCAGACGTGACCTTTCTTCACGATTACACTTCTCACCTCGTCGCATCGTTGTCTGCTCAAGGGTGTAACGTGCTTCCAAGATGCCAAAAATATTGTGTGACCTATTTACGACTTAGTAATTTAGAAAACTGGGAAAATAAAATTTGGAAATCTAAGAATTAGAGGTAGTAGTTCAAGATTGAATATTAATACTTCGACTTTTTTCCGCGGAATTGCTAACTCCAATCTAGTTTGCCAATTTAGAGAACAAATAGTAGGAATATTTCACATAATTTTATTCGCATTAGGTGTAATGATTTGTATGCACGTTCATTTGAGTTGCAAAACTTTATTAGAGAATAACTGAAGCAATTTTCATCACGATTTGATTTATTAATGTTAGACGATATAAAATAATTAATCATTTTCGTTTGCATCTAGTACTAAGAATATTTGCAGCAATCGGCTTCTACACATTTTTATTTCAATCAGTGCTAGGAATCTGTAGTTATTGCAATCAAAATACGTAGCATGATAAGATTACATAAATAAGACTAGAGTAAAATTATTCTTGGCACTTGTAAGTGACAATTACGTTACCCTTGGCAGCCCATCGCACCTCCAGACGCCGATGGAAACTGGATTCGGTGAGTGTTGATGTGGACGGAGCCGTTCCTAATTTCCTGCCATTCGACCTTCACTGCGGCGTCCTTCGTGAACACCCGGTCGAAACTATTCCTAGCAGCCCTCCCCTTCACCCCGACTGCACGCGGGGTGGCACAGGACTAGTTCGCAAACATGCAAATTTGGGGCCCAAGGCCGATGTTGGTGTGGTGAATGGAGCGTATTTGAGAACGTCTACTTCCAAACTGTTGGTGCGTTCATTCAACGTCGTTAATAAACCTGACTACGAAACGAAAATGAATGCAGGCTATCAGTATTCAAGAAGCATCGAGGTCACACCCCGAAACCGTCAAAGTACACTCAGGTTAAGGGTGGTTAATCCGTCCCCGTGCAGTCCCTTGGCTCAGTCCACTTACTTTTAAGGGGTTGTAGGTCCGCCAAATATTCATTGCATTTTTTTGCGAGGTCACTGCAGTCTGTTTAGATATTCAAAGGAAATTCAGAAAAACGATTTAACTTGCGTTACTTAATATAAATTGTAAGTTTGCTTTAATTTATTTAACAAGTAAATTTAATTACTTAAAGAATGCATTGTAATGGCTCAATTTTATTGAGAATATGGCTAATGAAATAAACTTCTTTAATTGCAGTTCATTAATTTAACTAAAGATTATCTAGGTTTTTAATTTATAATGGGCAATAGAAGACTGCAGTGCCTCCTATTAGGCGGTTTCTTGTCATTCCAGGAATCCTCATTTGCGATGGATAACCGCTTTTGTAAATGGCAAGCAACCGTCGTAGAGAACTTGTGGGGAAATTTGGGGGTTGGGTTACCTTTTAAAGCTGCCTCTAACATTTGTGCGGGCAGGTGACCTCCATTGGCAAATCGTAGGGTCTCGTTGGTCACCAATGCCCATCTGTCGCATTAGCTGACGATTATCCTGGATGCTGAGGACGTTTTGGTCTTCGAGCGTCGGGACAATTGTCCTAGGGGGGACACTGCCATGTGGCTAACAGGGCAGGGTGGGTAAGATAAGTATTTCTATAGTATTCCAATTCCTATCAAACTGATGCAATCGTTCGGCGATTTTTGCGCTGCTGATAATATAACATCATTTTTAAAATAAGTTTTACAATTGGAATACTATCCCCTTTAAAAGACCTCTGAATGTTTGCCCAGCGTTCAGTCATCGTTTAATGGGAAATTATTTTATGGCGGACAGTACACATTACAGGGTGGGCTCTAATGCTTCGTTCGAAAATTCGTTCTTTCGGGTAAATGTTCTAATGCACTTTTTTAAACATGTAATGTATCACATTCTACGTGAAGTATTGATATTGTTTCCTTTTTATTTACACCCATCGCAACACATTGAATCTTATTTGTAAGTTTACTTTTTGTACATTTAATTTTTTACTTACTATTGAAATATTTTATCCGTAAGTCTTCAAAATTGAATGACGATATGGTTCCATCTGTCAATTGTTTCAGAGTATTTCTTGAATTGGACTTGATTATGACATATGTGCTTTTAGAGAATTTGTTATAATATGTAGATATTTTACGAGTATAAAATCAATGTCTTTGTTCCAGTGGGTCTCTTATATGCCAGTTATTTTAACATGCCTAGCTTAACTAATTTGTTAGTGTTAAAGAATCTTCTTTCAAATGTATGTAGAAAGCTACTGAAAAAATCAAACAAACGTTTAATATTTTTTTTTGTTTCAGTGCCACAGTCCTTCAAGAAGATTACATTTGGCATCAAAGAAAAATTTGTTATTGGTCGAATTACATACCTCTCCGCCACAAATTACCATTTTTATATTCAGTGAAATGGTTACGTTTATAGTTGGTGAATAGGCTACATGTTAAGAAATTGAGTGATTGGAGGACTAGAAGAAACTCTAAGTAAATTCAGCAAATGTCCTACAACGTATACAATAATTTACTTAGTATTTATCATTAAATATTTATGAACATACGAGTAACAGGATTATTCCTCGATGTAACTTGAAAATCCGTTAAAAACTCAGTGATTTTCTTTGAATGCAAGGTGAAATGACCTTCCAACAGATAACCTCTCGGTACAAAATTCTCAAAAAATGGTAGATCAAAATATTTAGAGCATTATTTGAACCAGAAAGGACGATCGTCAGCATAAATGGTCCCACATATACATATCTGTATAGAATAAACTTTTATGCATACGTAGTGGCCTATGCATGTAATAAAATGCATAAAAAGCACAAATATTTAAATATAAAACTAATTTACTAAGTTTTAAAATTTATTTTCTTCAAAGTCGCATCAATAAGGTTACTAGATTAAAGCTATACGGGATTACTATAATCAGTACAGTATTTAATTTAATAGTGAACACATAATTTAAACTGATAATCAACAACTGATAATCAGGATTGTATTATACACTTTCAGTATTTTACAAAATTTTAATATATTTTCCTGAAAAACCACGAGTATAAACGTTTCAAGAATACCAATTTGTAAGACTGATTGACGTACAGGGATATATTTGGTGCACGACTGAAGGATAAGGACAATTGACAGTTAGTTCCATGATTCACGCTTTCAAGGAAGCTGTGTTATTTAACATATGTAAGGGAGTTAGCTTAGCGTGTTCAGATCCGATACGAGAAAGTGCCACATTGCGATTGAGATATGCTTCCGTTCTTCATTATTGGATCAGCTTGCTGGAGAAGCGACCAAAAAATTAGCATCCTTTTGGCTTGCCTATTAAAAGGTAGCACAGTTCTTGGATATTAATACACTTGCGTCTTCTGGTTTGTTGCAGATTGGTGCACCACAGCAGCAAACTTCTTGTGAATAACATTGTTGTCATGTGAGGACTGGTGAATTATTTGGAGTGCAGACGTGATGTCATTGTAATACAGCTACACTATTTGTCATTGGGGTTTAATAATCTTGTCAGGGGTACGAACGATAGCTTCGGTTGCATGATCGTTTTTATTACAATTTAGTGACTGTAATTTTGGTGAACCTTGTATATTTTTCTATTCTTTTATTCCATTATTCCTTATTTAGGGGACTGCATTGCTCATTCCATGAACATTCTAACGGGATGCAAGGTAACGCCATAGGTGAAATTTTTTAGCAACCTTGTTTCTCAGTTCTGATATTTGTGATGTTGAGGTTGGCGAGAGTTTGCTTAATTCTCCAAACAATGTGTTTTGATGATAACTGTACAGGTTTTATATTTTTGTTCTTATTGAAGATGCCAAAAAATTGACAAACTATTTATATTCCTTCTTTGCGTTTGAAACTAACTCAGAAACTCTTATTCAGCCTCAGTTTCAATGTTGTGTATAAAAATACTTTTGAAAATGCTATATAAGTTAAAGGTTATGGTACAAAGGTTTCAATTTTTTCAGAAATACAAAACTTCAGAAGCGAGAACTCTATTATTCTACTTGGCTTTCATCTAAAACCGTGGGAACCACCATGCAACACTTCAAAGGCAACAAGACCTCATCGGGTGCAGGCGAAACATCGAAACCGCCCAATGCGCAACTGTAACATCGCAGCAAATTGTCTTCGTCTTTGTAATACTTCAACGAACTCAGAAGCGCAATTTCGTGTCGAGTTCTGCGAACCGTTGAGAAAGTTCTCTTATATTGCATCGACTGAATTTTCACTGCGAAGGCATTGTTATTGAAAATTATTTGTTTTGAATAGCATAAACGGAAAGGAACAAAACATTGAAGTTGAATTCTTCGGGTCAAAACTGAAAATTTTAGTAAACAGAGGGACTCTGAACCATTATTTGTTAGAATTTAATATTGTCTTCACAGTAATCAGGATCTAAGATGGTACGAAAAGTTTTGGAAAAAGTAAAATTTTACATTCAGAAATAAGCGTTTGAATAGGTTTCCTTTAAAAGATAAATCTGGTAAGTGTTCAACAGGTAGACTGTTTAATTGTATTTATGAATGTGTCATTCTGTAATCACTGTATAGAAAAGTAAACTAATATAATAAATTACTTCAAAATAGATAACGAGAATGAAATAGAATTAAATGTAAGTAAAATGGCTGGCCTGCAACTAAGTGGTTTATAAAACATTTTGGCTAAAATACAGGTTAAGGTAAACTTGACTGGAACAGTTGATCATATATACAATCGAAAGTGGTCCATATGTCATTTGTCATTGTAGGTGCCACGTAGTAAGTGTCACTTCAGTATTGGCAGATGGATTTAATTATTCAATTCTAAAGTGCTCTAAATCACATTGTGATGCGTGCCTTAGACCACTTTAGTTCCAGGTTAGCTAAATATTTCTTTAAAATGTGAGAATGAAAAATGTACAATTATTCTACAGGAAACAAACGTTCATATGTTTACTCTTTTACGTAGGAGACTTCAGGAGACTCAGCAAAAAAACTGATAAATAGTGGAGCGATATTGTTTGTAAATGTCCGTGCTTTTTCCAACACTATTTATTACTAGATTACTGCAATATCAAGTAGCATTCGAAATTGAAACAGCGAGGTTACCGGTTAATATGGATTTACTTTTGTAGGGAAGAGAGTCAACCTTGCCCACAAACTGTTCTTGAAATTTCTATAAATTAATTTTCCTAGTCAGGCCTCTGTAAGTAGCGCTCTCAAAGAACACCTCACAGTAAGATCATTATGTCATATTGGTTTCGTGTTTTTCTTTCCCAGTTTTAACTCGTATGGTGTAAGCGTCGAGCGTTTGGCGATAGTAAAGGTCAGCGAAGAGTGAATAAATTGCAAAAGTAATTGGATTTGCGAGGTACACAACTTCCAGACTAATATATTTCAAGAACATGTACCAGGTCAGAAATGTCATATAAAATCCTAAAAGCTCTCTATAAATATTGTGTAAATGAAGTCTTTCTAATTTCAAAAATGAACCATTCAAAGGAAGCAAATTTAGTTTATCACAAAATAGGCATTTTTTCTATAATCAGCAATGTTTTGCGTTTTTACATTGCAATATTAAAGTCAGTCATGCAATGCTAGTGTTACCTGGCGCTTCTCGCAACGATTGGCAATATTGGGAATAGTCACAAAAAATCGCACTTTGGCATTCATAAGTCTATTTCTCTCCACGGATAAATACATATGTATATTTTGATAATTGTTCCGTACCAACAATGATGCTGAAGACTTAAAGTAACATGTATTAAGTAATAATATAAATATATTTAAATTTTGAAGGATTAGAGGAAAGAAGCAGGATCAATTGATTTAATGATACTCTAGTCACTAAAATGTTGGTAATTTGTAACAAATTGAGAAAAAAAATATTTTTAAATAATACTTTCCGTTTCTAAAAATTACAAAGTATTGTGTAATTTTAAAAGTATTGAAATTATATAAAGTGCTAACAGTTGTGTACCTATTTGAAAACATGTTTTTTATTAGTTTAAAAATATAAAAGGTCTCTGGATTACATCGAACATTGCAAAATCGTGCAGGATAAAATGAGAATGTATGTACTACGCAGGTATCTCTAGCTAATTTAGAAACGAAACATTCGTAATTACTCAGTGTATAAACTTGGTTAGTTAATGAAATTTGTTTATATCTATTATGTTGTTCTCATTATGCATCTTGGTTCATGGTCACCAGAGTGGCGCAAAACTATCTAAAGCTGGCGAAAACAAACTTGTAATGTCAAGTTATACTACTTGAAAAGTTCAAAGTTATATCAAACCTAAAATGTATAAATTTTGTTCACAAATCTATAGAAAGTAATGTAAGTTTTAAAAATGGCTTAAGCAAATGTTACTACCCTTGTTAAACATAACCCTTAGTATAAACTAACTTTGACCTTAAATTTATTGAACCTCCTGCTTCTGCATATTAGAACCTCGTAATTTATAACGAAATATTGAATGTTTCTGTTCAAACTGTGAAAATTAATAAATCCCTATATCTTGAACTTAATTAAAAGGTGTTAATGTAGATTTCAAGGTTTAATTATGTCAAATTGCCTCCGCTCTTATTGCTCCTGCAAATCCCCAAAGGGGTGTAGGAGCTCAAGCTGGAGAGTGAAATGTGAGCGAAAAGAGTTCTTGAAGTACTCGAACGAAGTAGTCAGAAGCGAATACAAAATCTTGGTTTCGTGTTTCCATCAAACTATTTAGATGATATTCCTGTGTACATTACTACTTGTTACTGTTTCATGTTTAATTTACTTGAAAATTCTGCTTTTTAAATACACATTTGCCAAGAGGGCAGAAATGATTGAATGTCAATTGTTTGTTTGTTTTAATAAATAAGATATGTTGTACCCAGCTATAATGTGAAATGATTTAACAGGTCTTCCACGGCCTAACATTTATCCTATTAACCTTAATATTAATTTTACCTAATACAACTTTGCACCTAACCTGAACGTAGGGATTTATTGCGATTATTGTAGTCTTCAGTTGATCTAGATATTGTAATCGCGTTTATTTCGACAAAATATTTTAATCTCAAGTGATACTGTAATACATACGATCCGTATCTTTTCAATGGACAATTTAATAGCATTGGGAAAGGAAGTGGGAATTAATAATCCCTAAACTTGTAGCCAATAACTTCGTCTTCTCCAAAAGACTGCCATAGTCCAGGTATCCGACGGCTGCCTGGAACATTTGTACAATCCTTACTTGTAGGTCAATGGCACACGAGCGCACTTTAACGGACGTTATACATTCCTCATGCATAAAAATATCAGACGCAAGAAGCAAGTAACCCCTTTCTATGATAAGAAAAGGACGTTCAAAATTAAGCAGCTTAATTAAAGAATTACCTCCCCCTACATGTGAAAAGTGTATGCCTGTGAACCTTGATAATTTCAAAGTATATCTCATATACTATAAGTCAAAGATAATTAACTGGGTAAAACAATGAAGTATTACCGCATTTGAAAGAAGACGAAGAAATAATTAAATTGTGTAAAGACATAGATATATTTTTGGAAATTTCATTTGACACGCGTTAATTGGCATTTATTTTAAATGGTTAGTGCTGTAAAATTGTTAACCATGTTCAAGTTGTTATTAAT